GTCAATTCTTTCAATACATACTAAGCCTAACGTCTTGGATAAATTTTTTTTTTAATTTTATTGGTGTAACAACTATTTGGCATGTGAGAATTATTTTTTACTGAAAGAATTGACCAATTTTTGATAAACATTGAGAGACTAGTAAACTGTATTTTAATCTAATATTCGGTAACAACAAAAGTAAAATTTTACAAATATAATCAAATAAAAAATTTTTCTCTATAAACTATGCAAAGTATTAATATCAACAATTTTAAAGAAAAACATAGTTTGCACGGAGATGCGGACTAGCATGTCTGACAGGTTTGCTCTGACATTTTATTAGAATAGACATCTCTTTCTCTAAAAAATCATAAAATTAATTAATGATCAATTATCAGATATATTAAAGGATTTTTTATAAAGGGTTTGTATTGAAAGATGCATAGAGAAAAATATAAAACTCTTGTTTGGTCAAAGTTATCAAACTTGTAGTTTTTTTGGTTAATTTAAAATCTTTAGTAAATACAACTTAAGTATATTATACTTTTGTTATTTCTTTTATTTTAATGTTTAATTTTATTTCAACATTAACTTCTATTCATTCACAAATCGTACACGTAATTGTAACATTAGACATCCTCAAATCTACATCCATAGAAATACATACATATAAAAACATTTCAATACGATAAATCAAAGTAAGAAACTTATAAAGTTTTTTATGAAAATTTTTCAAGAGTTCAAGCATTTTCATCCATTTAAGTTATATTTATTTGAAATCGTCATCACACGTGGACAATATTACAATAGCAGAAATGCAAAAAAGAAGAAAAAAGACAAAACGTGAAAGAATAAATAAATTTAAAAAAAGTGTTATATTGGTGATACCTAACAGGGGTATAGCATCGGAGACCTGTGGTAAGGTCTCGGCAACGAGATTCAGGAACACCGTCAACGACAGTAAGATGGTCACCCCTGAAACAATTGTTCATGACCATGACGTCAAAGTTACGTCTTAATGTTATCGCTCAAACGATATGACATTGACTTTCTGTGTCTTCCAGGAATTAATTGTAAAAACTCAAAAAAACACATAATTGTCATTGTTGAGAAACAAAAAATTATAAATACAAATGAAAATTAAAATAAAAGTAACCATTTTTCAGTCTCGACGTTCACGATGTAGCTGTAATAAAACACCGTTTGATTTGTACATTAATAGGGAAGAAATTATGTTTGTTACTGGACGGCTGACAAAAACCCTTTGATTGTGCTAAGAGCAATAATTATATCATTCATTTTGGTACCAGACTTGATAGATAATATTATGATAAAATATTGAGTTAGATAAAAAAAAATAGGATGCAGTTCTTTCAATGAAAACTTTACGTGATTCATTAATACAAATTAATAAGATTCTGTAAGAATTGCTTGTTTATTTTGTAATTTCATGAAGGTCATCGTATTTTTTGGACACAGAAATGATTTTTATTGCTTTTTTTATTGCTCGTATGAATATTCATGAAACAAGCAATACCTATAAAAGCTAGTTAAAAAGTGATTCGATTTTTGTATTTGATAAATAAAAACTACAAAATCATATTGGCAAAAATAAATTGTAAGTAAATTTCATAAATATTTTTAATTGATCATGTTGATGAGTTTTTTCATGGTTTTATTAGATTTTTTTTTAATTTTTAGTATGTTATAAAATTATTTTTACAGTTGATGTGCATTTTTATTTTATCCATGCTTCTTTCTGGAAGTTTTTTTAGATACCATTCGTTCTTCAGTACGTAATTTGAAATATGGAGAAAAAATTAATTTTGTTATAAAATGCGATAGTTCCGTTTAAAAGAAGTATTCGTGCAGATGTCCACGAAGAGCCGCAGCTTTGACAACAAAGAATATTCTGAAATTTTTGTTATTTAGTTAAATAAACGAAATTAACTTGAAAAAGAATTTAAATTTAAATTATAAAAAAAAATGTGTACAGAATTGCAAGTAAGTACAGAGTGAAAGAAAACGTTTAAAAGTTACAAAAGAGTCTCCTAAGATAAGGTTAAAAACTGTATACAACGAGTAAAAGGTCTAAATCAATATAATAATCTTTTATACATTTTGAAAGATTTTTAAATTTTCTTTGTTTGAAAATCATGTAGTTCTTATTTTTTTTCTCAATTCTAAAAGTAAAGTAACACTTTGTAATGATCCATTTGTTAGTTGAAAGACTGAATGAAATTATGAAAATAGTATTTTGTATATTTCATAAAAAGAAAATTATATGTAATTAATGTACGAATTCTTAATAAGTTTACATCATAAATTTTTAGTCATTATCTCATTGACTCATTAAATTTTTNAATTAAATACTCCAACCACCTGGAAAATTTTGCAAGTCGACAAGTCAACATTCCATTTGTATAATGTTGCAAGGAAAGAGTCGAATAAAATTTTGTATTCAAAGGCCAAATTTATAAAATGCTCAATAAATTTTTCAAACGTCAATGAATAAATTTCTTAATAATTAAGAAACTATGTTGTTTGAAATTGTTGGGTGTAGCATGTCAATGAGGCCACGAGAAAAAAATGAATTTTGCGCACGGGCAGTCTAAAAGCGGATCTGTTAACTATACCCGACAGCACACACGATCCTAAGAGTGCATTTACAAATTTATGCAAAAGTGCGTTGCGTATACAAACATTGCCAGATATCATTGTGAAATAAGTCCTATGAAAAACGTGATACCTATTAAGGGCACGGCATCTGACGTTGTCGGCATGCTTTCGGCCACGAGATTCAGGAATACTGTCAGCGACAGCAGAATGGTTACTCCTGTGGAGACATAATTTGAACTTGTTTTTTTTTTTGTTTTTTTCATCACATTTTTAGTGAACGGCTGCGTCTCGATCGTGAAAAACATGGATTTATAGAACCTTCTTTGTTTTTTCACCGATCACGAAAATCTTCGAAATCACCAAAGATGAAAGCTACGTGAATATGAATGAAATATTATGTTGCCGAATGATCGAACAATGTAATAAATTTTCCCAATACGATCATCGCGAAGGAGCATAGATATAGTAGCTGGTACGAATAAAAAGACATGTAATATGTATATATAATTTTTTATAACGTACTAAATTTTTCAAATAAAATTCTAACGATTCGTCTTTAGCATAGACATAGTGAGAAGACAGCTAATATAAACAATTTTTTTGATAAAATCGTCCATGTAAATGAATTTTCGTAACATTTCAATTGACAATAGATTGGAGCAGTGAATACAAAGGAAGCAATTGATAGCCTTGAAAGAATAGTTTAGATAATCAACTCATACTTTTTTTTACATGTGTAAGATTTCGTTGTAACGAACAGCAATTATTAGCTATTAGTTAATGGGAAAACTTTGGTAAAAAGATTTTAGATGACTACTTTCTCCTTTCGAGTTTACTCAAGAACTCTGTGATTACGGTTGATATTGCGAGCTTCAAACTTTTCATTAAACATGTTGTAAAATTCAATAGTTTCGTGGTAAGTTCACCAACTAGTTGGGAAACTTTGCTTATAATTTAGAGAAAGTACTTAATGATGCATTGGCTGCCAAGATCTAGCTTACCTCGAGAAATTTCTCGGGTGAAACGTGGATTATTTCATAAGAAGTAATTTATTGGATATGGAGTCAAAATCCAGGTTGTGTCGAACATTGGAGTATAATTGTCGATGTGGTTGCAATGATCTCACAATCTCATTCTATGCGGTATTTTTTTTTTTTCTAGCAGAATCTTTTTAATAGTCTTGATAACTTTTCTCCATCCTCTCTGGCATTGGTACATTTTGCCGAGAGTTTTAATTCAAATCACGTGTTGTTAGATTTTAGTTATATTTGGAGGATATACAGCCTCTTGTGCACGGCTTTTATTTGTCAATTTTTTTTTTTTTTTTTTTTTTTTTCCATCACCATTAGCATTTGCATGATTTTACAGGGAAGTGCGTTTACGTACTATTTAAATACCATGTTTATCGTCGTGTTACTTGACTTGTTTATCCACTACTATATAATTATGTTTTAATCGGGTGTTATTCGATGTACTCTACATTAATGATAATTCAACTTTGATAAAAGATAGAGGGAGAGTAATGAAATATGCGAGCTTTCAAATTAATGAAACGAAATTACATTTTGCTGTATTATCAGTGATGATGTGCAGAAAAATCTAGCGTCATTTGGTGATTTATCTTACGTTCTTTTAATAAATACATCACACCATTAAAGATTCCAGTGATTTTTACGCAGACGGGACGGTAACTACAATTCTTTTTTTTAATAAAATTAACATTAACGAGTAAGTCACGTCCAGGAGCGTAAAACTCGATAATATTTTAAAAATTTTTATTAATTGAGTGCAAACTAATAGTGGTTAATTTACGTGATTGTATGGTATATACTCTAAGAGAAAATATCTAGAACATGCAATTTTTGAGGTTGCGATAGAAAGGTAATCCAACTATTTATAGAATGTCATCTTATCGAAGTTAATTACTACCAATGATGTGAACTACTTACGACTAAATGTTTATGGAACAAAGCTTGTTATGAGGGATAAAAGTTTTACTATAAATTATTTAAAACTTATTTTATGTATAACATAGATTTGAGGAAAAAAAAAATTAAAAACAAAATAAATATAGATATATTACTCAAAATAAATTTAAAAAAAATAAAAAATCACAACTTTATGTATCAGATACACTACAATTACCATGTAAATTTTGATGAATTTCTAAAATCTGTGAATACCTGCACAGATTTTTCACAAAAAAAAAAAAACTAAAGAAGGCACGGGATTATTGCTGAATCTTTCTAACGTATACATTTGGACGCCATTTAATTTTTTCGGATACTTATGTTGTATAATACACACACGTTCGTATGTAAAAAAAAAAATCAAAATGAAAAAAAAAAAAAAACATCAATAAAAGCAAGTGTAAATGTTGATTACATTACCTAGGGTGAGTTTTTCCCCCGAGTCAGGAGGCAAGGTGAATCCAAGTAGTGCCATACTCGATATGAGGACGCATGGCACTATGAGGTTGAAAAAGTAGTACAGGGTACGTCGACGGATTTGTATAGTAAAGGTTACATCGACGTACGGTTCTGGGCAGCATTGATAAACAATCGTGTTTTTTTTGCCTGGCATACCTGCAATTATTTCACCCACAGCCGGTCATGAAATCAATCATCAAAATTATTGACCATTCAACAACGAATATACATGTGAAAAAAAAAAAAAATTATTATTTTTACACCATAAGCATAACATTGTTTGCCTCAGCAAGTACCATTTTTATATGACATAAAAAAATAATCAGTTTTTCGTCGGTCTGAATAAACAAATATACATTGGCAAAAAAAAAAATTATTGAGTAAAAACTGATTAAATTTCAATACATAGCTAATGTGTAATACATTATTTATTAATTACATGTACATAAATATATGATACGATATGTTTAAGTAATTTAAATATTCGTCCTTGTAAAGTTGGCCGTCAAACTCACCAATGAGGTACCATTCTCCGTTCATGATGAAATCGGATAAGTCACCACCTTCCTCAGAGTTGAGTACCAGATCGAGCTATCGAGGTCGAGAAAATTGCATTAAAAACAAAAGTGTCACTACTGCATTCTGACATTTCCGTAAATCACACTTTACGTGGTTCATGTATATTGAGGTTTTGCTTCAAACACGAGGTCGATCGCATGCTCAGTGGGTTTTGTTATCCAAGGCTTAGTTGCATGCACATATGCTTAACAAAAGTTGCACATACGTTTACATTTATATATTATACATACACATATCAGTTTCGTGAAATTTACATATTATGAATGATAATATTATTATTTATGTACATATTAGCATCTCGTGTGAGTATTTTTTTTTATAAATAAATTATTTATCTTGAGAAAAAAAAAAAAAGGATTTGAAATGCGTGTAAAAGTATTGAGTACGAGACATTTGTCACATCCATGTTACAAAATAATCTTGCGAATGATAATAATGACACTGATTGAAGTGCTGGTGTCNTTAGTAAATTACGTACCCTATGTTATTTTTTAAATTTAAAGTTTAGAGAATCAATATTTATTTTTTAATTTATTCTTTTATCATTTATAATTTAACGGTTAGGGTTTCAGCGACTGTGCCACGAATACCCGCTCTCTTCGCCCCCTCATAATAATTATGAGGGTTGATTTTGGTGTTTTTTATTATCTCTTGTTTCACTCGCACATTCACTCACTGATTTTCTCTGCATGTACACCAGTGCATGTATGTTCAAAAATTATTTATAATGTAATTTTCGTGTAAACGTGACTGGATTCTTACTCGCAAGGTGGTGATCTATAACATACAAAATTTTACTGGAAAAAAAAAAAAAAAAAAAAAAAAAGGATTTGAAATGCGTGTAAAAGTATTGAGTACGAGACATTTGTCACATCCATGTTACAAAATAATCTTGCGAATGATAATAATGACACTGATTGAAGTGCTGGTGTCTGTGTGTGTGTATATATATATTTTATGCGAATAGTTACAATGTTACGTGATATGTACCCAGTGTAATGTAGTTTTCAATCAAATAAAAAGTAACATGAGCACAAGGTACTTTATAAAAATGGAATTATATATTTATTACAAACGGTCTTTAATTATATGTTTTTTTTTTTAGGAAAAATCGGTTTATATGTGTAAATTCAAATGTTAACGAAGACAAAACAATTTTCATTAAATTATAAAAAATATTGTTTGTGTCCTCTGGATTACAAGATTTTGTAAATTCAACAAGCAGATTAGACATAATATTTTTGTTTATTGTCAATATAATATGTTTAACATGCTCGATTTTTTTTTTTAATTTTGTTCCCAACATGCAAATTTATGTATATCGACAGAAAGCTACATAGACACAATTATGATGAAACAAAGATCAGTGTTTCGATTGTTACGTGACACAGGTGTGATGAAATATATATTAAGCAAGACAGCACGCTTTGGTGTTTTAACGGTTTTTTTTTTTTTTTTTTTTTTTTTTAGAGAGAACCGTTTTGCGGATTCTAATTGTTTTGTTTTTTTCGTACCCCGTACAGTTGTAATAGTTTGGTAAAACGAATAACTTTTTTTTTCGTAATGACATGAACTACTTGTTTTCAGCCTTGGTACTCTCATGCAAGGTAGCAACAAATGTCAAAATAAATAATCAAAGGTATCAAACTCGCGAAAGTGGTTATGCATGGAAACACTTTGTAGGTCATAAAATATCTCACGAATCGTTTGTACGATTCTCGTAGCAAACATCTTTGAGTAATCAGGTCACTTGTGCTCGAAAAACAATTTTTCGTACGCTTACTGTTGGATGTGTGTCTGGATTGGTGCCATTTAAAAAAAAAAAAAAAAAAAAAAAAACCAAACAACCTCGAAGCACTTTAGCAGAAAACACTTAGTGGGCACAATTGATTCGAGAAAGTCAGCAATCACCAGCAGGGAGCTTCCGGACAGGTAGGTAAGTATACCCACGGTTATAAACGGAGGCAGCGGGCAATTTCCAAATCACCCATCAGAGTTCCGGCAACCTTATCTCCCACCGTGCGAGCCATCGATCCCTTCCAACAGCCCGCGATAGATACCTCGTGGATCGTTAACGAAAAATTTCGACTTTTTTTTTTTTTTTT